TGGAGAGATTTTTTTTAATTTTTTTCCAACAGGAAAATGCAATTCCACTAAGATTCTTGGGTCACAGATCAGAGGCTTGGATCAGCAAAAAGAAATGAGCCTTTGGAAGAACTCTGGTCCAATATTATGGGCCAGTTTAAACTACAATGTAGGCAATGGCAGGCTGCCTCCTTTCTCCCTATAAGGAAAGGCAACATAGCAATAATATTTACCAGAGAAAGGAAGGAGGGCTATATTTGTGGGTGGGCTGGGGGATAGCTTCTCAATAAAATGCTATTTTGTCTGGTATTATAAGCAGCTTCTCAGCCCTCTTGGACAAACTTGAAGGGAAAAAAAAAAGGAGAGTGAAGTTGTGCTAAAAGAGAATCAGAATCTTGTTTGTGAAATTTGTCCATTGGTAGTCAGTCAGCTCTTATTTCTCCTAGTAATGAAGATGCAGAGCTATGAAGAGGATTAAAAAACCCATTTTGTGATTATTTTTGTTACAGATTGAACTTTCTAATTGTGTTTTTCATACACAGTGGTGGATCTGGGGTAGACAGGGAGCTTACTCTGAGTGGAAGGAAGTGACTGGAAGTGTTTTTAAATGTGAAGATAAACAATAAATCCGTCTCAAAGCAGCATACCTACCAGGCACCTGTAGGTGCATTTACTTGCATAGATATGTATATTAACAATTAAAAAAAACACAAATGGGGCATATTATATATATTTATATTTGGGGATTTGCCTTTTCAGTAAGTGATATACTGATGAGGTTTTTCCATATTTTACATAATTATGTGCTGATTGAGTCTGTATTCAATTAATTTTATTTTACTTTTTTTTTTTTAATCCTCAGGGGTGTTTTATTCCTTTTAGAGAGAGGAAGGGAGAGTGAGAGAGAGACATCAATGTGAGAGAGAAACACGATTTGTTGCCTCCTGTTTGCACCTGGACTGGGGATTGAACCCACCCCGTATATGGGGCGATGCTCCAACCAACTGAGCCATAACCAGCCAGAGCTATTTTACACTTATTTTTAAGGAACTAAATGGAATTAGCATATTTTTATTGCAAAATATTTAACTATACAAATAAAGCAAAAGTCCTTGAATTTCATGCCAGAGGTAATTTTTCTTATCAGTATGATGTACACTTGGTTCTTCCTGTTTTTAAAACACACACACATATGATTTTAGTGAGTGATTTAAAAATTATTAACTTCAATTTTTCTGCAGCTTTCTTCTTTTTTTACTTAACAATATACCTTAGTGACATTTCCTGGTTAGTACATAGATATCTACCTCTTTATATTGTATTCCATAGAGTGGATTAACCATAGCTCTCGGTGAACACCCACATTGTTTTCATTATCTGACAGTTATAAACAAGTTACAGTAACTATTCCTGTACTTGAATCTTTGTGTGTCTGTTCAAGTGTTCTCTAGTATAAGGACAAAATTGCTGGGTTGATGGGGATGTGCATTTTTTATTTTAATGAGAACTGCCAAACATCTTCCAAAAATTCTGTACAACTTTGACCTCTCACTATTGGTAGTTTTCTATACCTTTAACAACACTGGGTGTTTTAAAATTTTCTGTCCTCATGGATGATGTCATTGTCCTATTAATTAACTAATTTTCTCTTTTTATTGCTTTGGACTTTTATTACCTATTTTTAGTTTGAATTCTTAGTTTTCTTATTAATTTGCAGGAAGTCTCTTAAAAAATAAATATTCTTTTCTGTTTATATGTTACAAATGTTTTCTCCTCTATTCTTGTTTATAATTCATTACAGAGTATTTAATTCTTTTTGAATTTTGTAATTTGCATAAGAAAAGGCTTTCTCAACTCAAGGTTTATACACATACTTCTATAGTTAAATAGTGGGGAGTCCAGCCAGTGTTGCTCAGTAGTTGAGCTTCGACCCATGAACCAAGAGGTTGCTGGTTTGATTCCCAGTCAGGGCACATGCCCGGGTTGCAGGCTTGATCCCCTAGTAGGGGCATGCAGGAAGCAGCCGAAAGATGTTTCTCTCTTATCATTGGTGCTTCTATCTCTCCATCCTCTGCCTTCCTCTCTCTCTAAAAAAATCAGTAAAAACATTTCAAAATATATATTGGGGCAATGATTAAATTCTATTGTCCCAAAGACAGTTACAGATTTTTTTTTTTACTGATAATGGAATATTATCTGTATCATAAGGTTAATTCTCAAACACATATAGTTCTGTTCTGTACTCATTTCCACTGAATTATTTGTCTACTCTCCTGTCAGTATCATACTTGTAAATGACTATAGCTTTATAAAAACTTTGCTATTTGACCAGGAGCATTCCTTACGAAGTTAGTCCTTCTCAAAAATTTTTTTCTTATGTATTTTCACACCCAACAGTATTTTATTTACACTGTATTACAAAATATTACATAAATTTCTCTTGATATTTTGATAGTGGTTATACTGAATTTTAGATTAACTTGAGGGCAGTTTTACATTATTGAGTCTTTTTGTCTGGAAATATGTTGTATCTTTATACTAATTCAGGTCTCATATGACCTTTAGTCGAGTTCTATGGTTGTCTACTTAAAGGTTTCCCACATTTCTTTTGTGTTTATTCTTTAATATTTTATTGGATTTGTTGCTGTTGTGATTGGACTTGATAATTATTGCTCATTTATAGAAAGACTTTTGATTTTTTTGTAAGTTGATTTTTTGGGGGTCATAGAGTGGTACCAAAATCTATTCTAATAGTGTCAGTTGAGTCTCTTGATGTTCTAGAACATCTCTGTGCAGTAGAAATATAATGTGACCCATAGATGCAAACCACATATGTAATTCTAATTTTCCAGAAGTCATATTAAAAAACAGTGAAAAAAAACCAGACAGAATTTACTTTAACAATACACTTTAATGCAATATTTCCAACAAAATATTATCATATCAACATGTAATCAATATTTAAAAATTAGTGATAGATTTTTACTTTTTTTTGTATTAAGTCTTTGGAACTCCATGTGTATTTTAATACTTAAAGCACAATGAGGTTTAGACTATATAGCCACATTTCAAGTTCCCAGAACAGCCCACAGTGGCTAGTGGCTACTGTATTGGATAGTGCACAGATTGCTTATAAAAAATTAAGTTTTTTCCTGTCTTTGTTTTTCTTTCCTTAATATCTTTTGCTTAGTCTTCCAGTAGTACAGTATGGATGTTGGTGATATTAACGGAATTCTAATGTTTGACCATTGTGAATTTCTTTTTAAAAAATTTTTTTATTAAGTTATTACATATGTGTCTTTATCCCCACATTAACCCCCATTCCCCCTACTCATGCCCTCACCCCCATATTGTCTGTGTCCATTGGTTAGGCCTATATGCTTGCATATAAGTCCTTTGGTTGATCTCTCCCCCTTACCCCACCCTCCCCTACCTTCCTTCTGAGGTTTGACAGTCTGATCAATGCTTCTCTGTCTCTGGATCTGTTTTTGTTCATCAGTTTATGTTGTTCATTATATTCCACAAATGAGTGAGATCATGTGATATTTATCTTCCTCTGACTGGCTTATTTCACTTAGCATAATGCTCTCCAGTTCCATCCATGCTGTTTGTTGCAAATGGTAAGAATTATTTTTTACTGCAGTGTAGTATTCATTGTATAGATGTACCACAGTTTTTTAATCCACTCATCTACTGATGGGCACTTAGGCTGTTTCCAAATCTTAGCTATGGTGAATTGTGCTGCTATGAACATGGGGGTGCATATGTCCTTTCTAATTGGCATTTCTGTGAATTTCTGATTAGGTAGACAAACTAAGAAGTTTTTTTTTCCTTTTCTAGTTGTAAGAATTCTCTTTCATTAAATTAAGAATAGGTTTTAAGTTGAATTTTAAAAAAATTGGCATCTCTTGAGATGACCATCTTTTCTTCCATCTTTTTTAAATGAAGAGAAACAAATTTATAAGTTGTTTTCTTTAATGGTGAACGATTCTTGCATTTCAGAGACAAAACCTTCTTGACCGTGATGTTTTCATTCTTTTTAACAAATTTTTCTACAAAATTTTATCTCCTTTTGTTTGATTTAGGCTATCTCGCTTAGGGTTTTATATGTATAGATGAGAATTATGTGTACTTTGAGGGTTTGTTAGACTTATTTGTTAAAATAGCTGGACGTGGTTTGTTTTTAGGGTTAGCTCTTTGAGTTCATTTTTCACTCTTCTAAGATTATTTGCCAATTCAGGTTTTTGTCTTTTTGGTCAATTTTGATATTGTATTTTCCTAGATATTTTAATATTTTGCTTAGGTTTTCAGGTATATGTGCATAAGGTTGTACATGAAATCCTATTAATAAAAGCCTATGTGGTCGTCACGCCCTCACGCCATGACGCCCTCACGCCGCAACAAGCGATCACCAGGAGGCTGTGGGCGTGTGTGGGTGGGCAGGGGCTTGACGCTGCGTGCACAGCATGGAGGCGGGTCCCACGGCTCGCGCGGCAAGGCCTGGGGGTCCTGCGGCTCTGTGTGGCACAGCGGCGAGACCCCCGGCTCCAGCCTACCTCTTTGGGGCAATCCATCGAGAAACCCTGGATGGGTGGACGGGGCCTACCTCTTTGGGGCAATTGATCGTGGGACTCCCACACTGTGAGACGGCACAGGCCAGGCTGGGGGACACCCTCCCCCCGTCCCACCCCAAGTTCACGAATTTCATGCACCGGGCCTCTAGTTTTCTTATAAATGTGAATATGTTTGGGTATATAAAGAAAAATATGGAGGGATATATTAGAAACTTAATGATGGTTATCTATGGGAAGTGGCAGTGGAATTGGGAATGATAGTCTTTAAAAACCTTATATCCTTGAGCAATGTGGGAATTTTCAAATAATGGACTTGTTTTACTTTCATAATAAAAAAAAAAAGAGTGTTATTTCAAACTTTTAAAAATGGAAAAGTATGGATTGTTGCAAGGAATATAGTCACCTTACCTGTCTCAGTGCATCTTACCTGGATGTTTTCTTCTCAAGCTGGACTCTGGACTGTCTTCACCCTGGGCGGCGTGGGCAGCAAAGCGGCCACCACGCAGGCACTTTCTTCCCCGCTGGCCAACCAGAGCCTCCTGCTCCTGCTGGTGCTGGCCAACCTGACAGACGCTGCAGATGCCCCCAACCCCTACCGACAGGCCATCATATCCTTCAAGAACACACAAGGTTCGTGGGGGTTCTCTGAGTATGCTTTCTAATGAGGGAAGAGGGTGCTGTTCACCCCGTATTGTTTATTGCCTTATAGTTGTGGAGATGACAGACCAGTATATTTTCATACTGATAATGATGAGAATAGCTTGGATTTTCCTGCCTGTATTCTCAGAAAAGTCAGGTAAATTTTAGATGAGGGCTGTGCTTCCTTATATGCGTTTAAATTTGCATTTCTTTCCGAGATAACCCGGCCAGCAAGTGCTTAATTTGGATTCATCTATCCTACCTGTTAGGGATGAACATAAACCTAACAAAACTCTAAATGATAGGTTGTTTGACAGTGTTCACTCAAAGTCTATTTAGAGTTTTATAGAACTAAAAATTAGAACAGAACTGAGCAAACTTTTTCTTCAAAGGGGCAGATGGCTTTGCATGGCCATGTGGTCTCTGTCACCACCTCTTAACTCTGCCATCACAGCACAAAGCAGGCACAGATAATACATAAGTGAATGTGCATGACTGGTTCCAATAAAACTTTATTTCCAAACAACTGGTGGGCTGTAGTTTGCCAAACCATGTGGTAGATAGAGCATAGGTAGAAAGTTATATGTTGAAACAGTACTCTCTTATCAAAAGGTTATACTCTAAAAGCAAGATAAATATGGTAGGCTAGATTATTGATATGTATCCCAACATTCACATCATTGAGATGGGTGAAAAGTACAGTCATTAGATAGGAATTTTTAAGGTTTCTGATGCACTTTGCCTTGTTCCTTCACAGAACTTTTCTAACATGCTTCTTATAGACAGTGGATGAGTGTGCCAGTTAGTTGTGGCTTTGCTAATTCTGGTATTATTATTTACCGGGGAATAGGAAGTCTCTAATAATTTGATAGATTAGGAGTGAAAGCTCACGTATCTAATAGTATTTTCTATGGTCACTTCAGATTTGCGAGGCCTTTCACAGTTTGCTTAATGTCAGTAAGCGTCAGTGGCTTTGTCTGTAAAATGAAGATAATGTGACTAATAGTATTTGTATAAGTACCAAGCAAGGTAAGGTTTTTAAATGATTAGCTCAGATTTTACAACAAAGCAAGTGTCCATTTTGTGGTATCTCTACTATTGTTACTTGTGCTGCTCTGGCCAGATGTTACTACTTGGGCTTGAACCTTCCTGAGATGGTCATCTTTCCGAGACTGTGCAGTACGCTGATCCAGAACATTGGCTTCAGAGTTAGACTGACCTGGCTTCATAGCCCAGTCTTTATTTGTTACATACTAGCTTCTTTATTCATGAAGCAGAGGTTATAATCTCTATAGCTTAAGGTTTTTATAAGAATTCAATGAGCATCTGTCACACTACTGACTCCCTGAATTATTGCTATTATTAAAGAAGCAGTTTTATGTCGTGAAAACAATAGAAGCTAATTGATCTGTTTTTTACTCAGGGCTAATCTTAGAAAATGTACTTAATCCCTCTGAGCTTCTATTTCATCCTTTGTAAAACTGGTACGAGCAATGACATGGTTGTTGCCTGGATTAAATAAGGGATCATGCACATAACCATTGGAAAGATGCTTAGATACTACAGAGAAATAAATTGGTCCAGTGTTTTTTTATTCTTTGTGTGTGTGTGTGTGTGTGTGAGAGAGAGAGAGAGACTGTTTTAGTTCTACTCTCAGAAAATTTCAGTTATACAATACAGTGTTATCACCTCCGTATTGTTTTACATTTAGTTATTTTTTAAGTAGAATTTTAAATATAAATTGAAATTTGAATCTGAAAGATAGCAACATATAAAATTAATGGGAATTGAATCGTATACATGAGTGGGCTTTTATTATTTATAAAGGGCATAGTCTAGAAAATACTGATGAAATATTTAAAATTTTTTCTGTTTTCTGTATTCCAGATAACAGTCCTTTCCCCTCGTCAATTCCACATGCTTTCCAGATTAATTTTAACAGTTTGTACACGACTCTCTGTGAGCAGCAGACGTCTGATCAGGCAACTCTCCTATTGTATACATTGCTCCATCAGAATAGTAATATTAGAACATACATGTTGGCTCGCACAGATATGGAAAATCTTGTAAGTATCATGCTAAACATTTCATGCTTTATTTTTATTTTATAGTATTTTGAAGAATAATTTCTTTTCCCCAGAGGGGCAGTGTATTTGCTTGGTTGCTACAAGGTGATGGTTGAGAAACCAACGGGGAGATGTCACCTGATAGGCAAAGGTGTGAGCTTGGCAGTGTAGGAGACAGAGCACGTAGAGATGGCACCACAGAGCGGAGAAGGCAGTAGCACCACAGCTTCCCTGTCCATTAGGTCTTTACCAGCCGCCCACTGCTGGCAGCCAAAGGGATGTCCCCTCTGCACTGGTTTTGACAGGTTGACAGCAGGATTCACGAGGCATTTGGTAGCCTTTTTTTTTTTCAGTGTTAAAGATAAAATACTGAGTGGTGTGGGATATTAAAATTCATTTGAAGAGCATATCCTATGTCAAAATGATAGTGAGGACAGAAAACATAATGAAAGAACCTATCTCCATACCTATATGTGAAAAACATTGGCTTAAATAGCAAAATCGGGTGTGAGTGAAAACTTATAGTGAGAAGGTCTGTTTACTGATGGGTAGGTTATGAGGACAGATAATTCTGAGTAAGATGTATCCTAAGGGAAATGATAACAATAAGCAGAAAGCCTGTGACATCACCTGTTCTGGAAAGTTCTGTGGTATAGAGGTTGGTATGATGCAGGGATGACCTGGCCAGTGTGGCTCAGTTGGGTGGAGTGTCATCCTGTACACCAAAAGGTGGCGGGTTCGATTCCCAGTCAGGGCACATACCCAGGTTATGGGTATGAGCCCCAGTTGGTGCACGTGTGGGAGGCAACCAACTGTTTCTCTCTGTCGCTCTCTCCCTGCCTTTCTCTAAGATCTTTTTTTTTAAATGATGCAGGAGCAGTTGTCTATATATGATATACACCAATGAAAAGTTAAAAGGTTTTGTTTTTACTTGGGAGGGTGGGGTAGGGTTTCTCCATTTGTTTGTTGTTTTTACGTTTCTGGCATAGATTACTTTGATAATGTCCATCTGGTGTCTCTATCTGTCCTTTCCCTTTCTTCAATAGTAAATACTTGTTGAAGCTACGATGAGAAGACATGTTATGGGTAGAAAATTTGTTGTGCTGATGTGATGTTTGTCGGGTAGCAATTCTTTTATTTTACAGTCACTGTTATTGGGAAGGCAGTGCTCAACACATGACAGTGTTCCTGAGAATACTCTATTGTGTGTAAGCTCTTAGTAGGCTGGGGGCAGACCTGCCTCTGTTCAGGTCCGTGCTGACTGGGAGCCTCCGTGGTCTCTGCAAACCCACCCTTCATGTGTCAGCAGAAGCAACTCGGTGGTGATTTCTTCTGCTGGTGTCTTAGCTATTCATGTGGAAAGTCCTTTCAGTCAGAGACGGGTTTGTGTGTCTTTTTCTCTAAAGAAAAATGTAACTATGAAGTTAAGCAAAGGGTAGATAATAAAAGTATAAAAGTTTAAGACATTGGTCTTATAATAATGTGATAGAAGTAGTAAAGTGAAATTTCTATCCCCTAGGTTTTACCAATTCTTGAGATTCTGTATCATGTTGAAGAAAGAAACTCACACCACGTGTATATGGCGCTTATAATATTGTTGATCCTTACAGAAGATGATGGCTTCAATAGGTCCATTCACGAAGTGGTAAGTCCCCATCACTTCGATCAGAGTTAGAGTTTCAGACGTTTCACTGAGGCTTAGCATTTCTTCCTTCTTTTCCCTCTGGTGCTGTTTCTGAGAGAACCTGACTTAGAAGTCATCTGTGAACCATTTATCAAATGGTGTTTGTTTTTTCCTGAATGACTGGAAGACTAGTAGACTATTAAAAAAGCTCTCAAGATGGTTTCTTTAGTAATTGAGGCAAGTGTTTTTGTTGCCAGTGGGTTCATTTTTCTTCTTCATTTTATGTCCACTTTTCAGTAGAGACAGAAATTGTCCAACAGGTTTGCTCTCTGTATACAGAATGAGTGAAAGAATATGGAATAAAGGGAAGAAGACTGAGAAATCAGTTGTTTTATTTTTTTAAAGGGCAGTGTAATATGCCCAGCAGGCATGGCTCAGTGCTTGAGCATGAACCCATGAACCAGGAGCTCATGGTTCGATTCTTTGTCAGGGCAGATGCCAGGGTTTTGGGTTTGATCCCCAGTCGGGGGCATGCAGGAGGCAGCCGATCAATAATTCTCTCTCATCATTGATGTTTCTATCTCCCTATTTCTCTCCCTTCCTCTCTAAAATCAATTATGTATAAAATTCATGATAAATTTAAACAGAAAAAAAGACAGTGTAATATAATTTTAATCTTTAAATGTTAGTCTTGCTGGTGAATTACATTCCCAAATTGATTTTATCTCCCTTTTTGGTATTTTCTTTATAACATTGAAAATGTTTGTGTCCGTGTAATATATAGACATAGTGTTAAAACATATAGAAAGAAGTAGTAGGTTTTTTTAAATTTTATTTTTCAATTATAGTTGATGCAATATTATGTTAGTTTCAGATTTACAGCAATGATTAGATACTTAAATACCTTATAAAGTGATCTCCATGAGAGAAGTCTAGAACCCCCTGCACCATACATAGTTATTACAATACTAGAGGCCCAGTGCATGGATTCATGCACATTGAAAGTAAATTAATTAGAAGGTGGCCCGCAGGGGTCCTTCGGCCTGGCCTGTGGGGATCAAACCGAAACCGGCAGTCTGACATCCCCCGAGAGGTCCTGGAGTGCAAGAGGGCACTCTGCAAAGTTTCTGTCGCTCTGCAGCTCCTGTGTTGAGCGTCTGCCCCCAGTGGTCAGTGCGTGTCATAGGGCCGGTTGGCTGGTTGCTTAGGCTTTTATATCTATAGATTACTGACTATATTCTCTATGCTGTACTTCACATCCTGTGACTATTTTTGTTAACTGGCAGTTTATATGGAAGTACTAGGTTTTCGTGAAAAATAGAGCATCCCGTGTCTACCCATTTTCTCTCTCTCTCTGATACCCATGTTACAAATCTACAGTGAAACTGTGCCAATTTAAATTAGAAAACAGTTCTTGCTTACCGAGGCCTGGAGGTGAGCTGCCTGCTCTGAGTAGACAGAACAGAACACAGGGACATCTGTTCTGGAAGATCGTGGCTGTTTGCATTCCTGGCCTTCCCCTGAACACAGCATGGAGCGTTCTGCGGTTGGGAGAGCTCTACTTCTCGAGAGCCTCCTTGGTTTTCTTATGTTCACTTTCAGACTGCTGAGCTCTGACTGTTTTTCTCTCAGTCCTGTCCTAGGTGCCATGCCTCCTGTTTGTCTACTAATGATAACCTCCTGTCTTCCAGACCTGGTTTTTTTCTTTCTTTTATATTTAAGAAGCAAGGGGGAAGGAGATGTAAACATATCAGCACAGTTTGGCTATCCTGAACTCAAAGTCTCACAATACACTTTTACTAGTATATTCTGTTTAACTCAGAGCATAGCCACGGCTTATCCGAAATTATATAGACATGGACAGTCCTTTTTTCCTAAGTCAGTCAGGTTAACTTAAACTTTTCTTCCCCATTACAGATATTAAAAAATATTACTTGGTATTCAGAACGGGTTTTAACAGAAATTTCACTGGGGAGTCTCCTAATACTGGTCGTAATAAGAACCATTCAGTACAACATGACAAGGACAAGAGTAAGTATTCCAGAGCTGCTCTATTATCTGTATGTATATGGTGCGATTAAGACTATAGTTGAAAGCACTCTCAATTTTGAGAGTGCCAATGTTCTCATGAAGCACAGTAGAAAAATACAGATCAGCTTATAGTCACTGTATTACATGATCTCAAGGTACTATATGTAGTATCTGTTTCTTAATATTTAATAGACTGCATGATTAGAGACATTTTACATGAAATCAAAAACAAGCAGTGGAACACATTTAAATAAAAGATGCTGTACATCTTTGCTGGACTGATAAAACTATTTGCCTTTTAAAAACAACAGCAAACTAAGAAGATATAAGTAGAACAAAAATGAATTCAGTTGGGGGGAAAATAGAAGAAAGAACACTTTTAAAGAGTAAAGAGAAAATTTCCACTGGATTGTACTTGCAGTACCTGGGGGCAAATTTCAGTCCCGGTCAATAGAGAAGCCATGTACAGAATTCATAACTCAGAGACATGGTCAAGTTTACTGACCTGTTTTCAATTATTTCCTCTGTGGGCTAACGTAGGTACATGTTCAGAATCTTCTATCTGAAATGCTAGGAGCCAGATGTGTGTTAGAATGGAGAATGTTTTGATTTTAGAAAGATAATTATAGAGCAGATGCTTACTATATGTAGCCATTAGGTTCTGGAGCAGCACACTGTAATTAAACATTAATGTTTCTGCAGCAGAATACTCCAGTATTCACCAGGGCAGGGTAATGAGGACCACAAATAGCCTATACTCTTTGCCAGATGTTGCTTCCAAATGCGTGGTGAAAACACTTTGAACTTTCAGTGCTTTATCGGTTTTTGGAATTAGGGAAAAGGGATTGTGGACCTGAGCTTTCAACAATCAATGAAAATCAAGTTTACATTTGCTTCTAATTAGCCTTGCTTACAACACAGAGAAGACTTGATGAATGTTTTCAACTTGCTGTTTTCTGACAGGACAAGTACCTTCACACAAATTGTTTGGCAGCTTTAGCAAATATGTCAGCCCAGTTCCGTTCCCTCCATCAGTATGCTGCCCAGAGGATCATCAGGTAAATATGAGCTTTAAAAGAAATCCTGATTTTTATTTTCTGGCTGTCCTATGGAAAAGGATAGGATGATGTTTCCTTTTAAAATGTTACCTGTAAGAGTATCAAATCATCACACTTCATTTTTATCACCTGTTTGGTTGAAAATACCTTGTTCTTCTCTGTTACTAACCTAACTTTTCAATCAAAGTTAATTGTATTTACTTTCAACCATTTTATAAATCTGGTTTTAAGCTTTGTATATTAGCTTTTAAAAAAATATATATTTTTTTATTGATTTCAGAGAGGAAGGGAAAGGGAGAGAGAGATAGAAACATCAATGATGAGAGAGAATCATTGATCGGCTGCCTCCTTCACACCCCCTACTAGGTAAGGAGCCTGCAACCCGGGGATGTGCACTTGACCGGAATCGAACCCGGGACCCTTCAGTCCACAGGACGATGCTCTATCCACTGAGCCAAACCGGCTAAGGCTAAACTAGCTCTTTAAGAGACAGAGGCATATTTCTTGGTAATGCAAACTGCATTTTAATGAACATCTTTGTTGAGCTTTTTGTAGAGCATCACACCTCCCTTCTGAGGAGTTACCTGTGTGTGTCCTGTAGAATTCTTTTTATAGCATATTGGTATACCGTATAGTTTTTATACCATATAGTTTCTTTTGATAGCATATTATTTTCCTATTGCTGCCACAAAGTAGTGACTTAAAACAACACAAATTTGTTATATCATTCTGTATTAGCAGTTCAACACGGGTTCACTGGGCTAAATCAGGGTGTCAGTAGGGCTGCAACCCTTTCTGGTTGCTCTAGAGGAGAATGTTCCCTCGCCCTTTCCAGGTGCTAGAAGCTGCCCACATTCCTTGGCTCATGACCCCTTCCGCCATCTGCAAGGCCCCAACAGTAGGTTGTTGAGTCCTCCTCACATCCCCTCACATCTCCTCTTCCACTTTGAGGATTCTTGTTATTGCCTAGGCCCTACCCAAATAACCCAGGATAATCTACCATCTCAAGGTCCTTAACTGAATCATCACTGCAAGCCCCTTTGCCATGTAAAGTAACATACTCACAGATGCAGGGGCTAGAATGTGGACGTTTGGCCTGTTCAGTATGAAAACGCCAGATGAGCTGGTTTAGAACTTAAATTCTTATAAAATATATGAAGCAAGATTAAATAAAAATTTTCTAGGTATAAGAGTTGGAAAAAATGCAAATAAAGCACTGTGCCCAGTTTTCTATGTGGGATGACTAAAGTGGAAAACCCATCATTTTGGAGAAATAAAAGCCCTAATTTAGATTTGTGATTTGGGAATATTTTGATCACGTTTAGCATCAGTAAGGAGTAGAGCTTTGACTTAATTTTAATGGAGTTGTATTTCGTTATAAAATTTCCTGCCCACGGGTAGCTAGTACTTGAGTAGTGGAGATATGACAAGCACCAACGTATATTATATACAACAGACTGTCATAAACGTTAAAATGAAAGAAAAGTTCCTGTGGTGAATGGTTGGTTGTTCAGGGAGTAGTGAGATCACATCTCACTGAGAAATTAGGCAAAGTAAACAGAGAGAGATGGCCTGAGAGAGGAAAGCATCAACCACAGCAAACCAAACCAAAACAAGAGGTGTGCGGGGGAGAGCATGGTTCATATTTAGACAATAACCTGCCCCATTCAGCCTATACAGGGATTATAGGAGAGAAACCTCAAAGAACCAGCTGAGGCCTTCACCGTCAGATCACAGCTTAGGATAATGAAAGCAATAGAGAGGAAAGAAGGCAACAGAATAAAAAATGTGAATGAATGAATCGTAAATGATTTAAAAGAAATAATTTAATGTAAACGTCTAGAGTCATCATTTGCAGCAGAGATGATGTTAGCATGCCCTGTGTGGCACAGAGGGGCGTGCAGTTCTGTGCCGTGCCCTGTGCTACCAGCGCTGGTCCAGGGGCCGCAGCGGTGCAGAGTGAGGACCAGAGCATCCGCATCACCCAGGACGGTGATTTCCTGTTAGAAAAGCATGTCCACCAGCTTCACACCCTGAATCAGATCTTCATTCTCACAGAATCCCCACATGATTTGTATATTAAACTTTGGAAAGCATTTTGAATTTGGGCTTGGAAATCAAGATTTATTTCTTAGAAAACACTTGTCTCGAATTGGAAATGGGGCCCAGCTTTTTTGCATCGTGAGGAAACTCATTCTGTACTAAATGTTTGTGCTTAGGGTACAGAACTGTAAAGTATGATACGGAACGGATGCATAACAAACACTGTTTAATGCACAGATTTATCATAGCAGTGCAAACCAATTCACCAGATGCTCTAGTGACTCCTTCAAGTGAGAAGGCATCAATTTCCATAGACATTTTCTAAATCCTCTTTCAGGAAGCGACTGTACAGTTTTGTATCTGCCAGTTGCAACACTTAGAAGAGCCAATATTTCATGTGATCTTTACCAAAATGCAAAACAGTAACATGCTTCATTGCTGAGAAAATAGGATGTGAATAAAGCTTTCAAAAACCTTTTTAGCTGGATATAAATGTAAGGAATGATTTCAGATGGTGTCTAAGCTACTGTTTTATATTTAATGACAACATGTCTTCTACAAATTTGGTATTCTAGAAAAATCACAAACATGCTTTAGGTTTTGCTCATCTATGAAGATTCAGAATACACTATAAGCATGGATATTTGATATTATTTGGGACGAGGCTTATTAATTCAAGTAAAAACATTTATAAAAAGTAGACTGTGTGTAAGGGATTGCGTGGGTTACAAGGATATCATTACTCTCTGCCCTTAAGACTTCTCCTCTGGCTCCTTCCTCTAGCTCCTCCCTCACATTTGGCTTAACAGATACTTTCTTTAATCTTTCATCCTAAATTGTTGTTTTCTCTCTGCTCATTTTTCCTGGGAGTTCACATATATGCCTATAGCTTCATCTCTATGCACTTGTATAAAATAATCCTGATCTTTCTCTCTGTCTCCGGAGGCAGGCAGTAGAGTATAGTGGTTCAGAGCACAGACTTGAGTTTGGATGCCAGCTCCAAAACCTGCTAGCTGTGGAATCTTAGAGAAGTTCCTTGCCTTCTCCAGGCAGCAGTTTCCCCATCTGTAAGGTTGGTGATAGCAGTTACTATCTTATCTCAGTGGATATGGTGAGGATTAAGTGAGTTAATACTTGTAAAGGGCCTGACACATAGCGCGTACTGTAACTGTTGGCTAGCTGAACCCTAAATCTACTAACCTCATTGTCTGGATATCCAACACTTAACTCAGACTTTTATTCTGTTTAAAACTACACTTATTTTTTAAACACGTTCTTCCTTTTAAATTTCCTATCCTAAGTAATGACCCTCACTGCAGCCACCTAAATTGCCAAACCAGAAACCAAGTAATTTCCTACCATTTCTCCCTTCCCCTCAAACGCTATGTCCAATTGTGCCCTGGAATCCTGTCTAACTCTACCATTGTAATTTGCTTTAATACTCTCTTTTCTATCTCCACTCTTGCTGTCTTGGTTCACGTGTTCATGATGGTCACCAAACTGTCATTTGTCTGCTGGTGCTTCTGCCTTCCTTCTTGTCCCTCCACAGTCGACCTCCGTATTGCTGCATTCTTTTGAAAAACATGTCTGATCTTACTGCTCCCTGTGCTTAAAATCATTAAATGCCTTCCCGTTGCTGGCAGGTTTAAAGTCAACCTCCTGAGAGCAGAAGCTCTCCACTGTGGGTGATTTTGTCCCCAGGGGGCATTGGCAGTGTCTGGAGCACTTTTTTATGTATTGTTTCTGTTGTTATTGCTACAGCAGGGGAGGAGGTTGCTACTGACATCTAGTGGGTAGAGGCCAGGGATGTTGCTAAACATCTTAGAATACACAGGACAACAAATAGCTGTCTAGCCCAAAATGTCACTAGTGCTGAGGCGGAGGAACCTTGCCTTAGGCTTAGAGTGCTCTTCATCTTCAATTACTATTTCTACTCACTGCTCTGTCCTTACTGCGTGGGTACAGTTCCCTGCTCTGCACAGCTGCACTCCTGCATCTGGACAAATGTGGTCTGGAATTAGAAAAAAGCTGAGCCAGTTCCTGGTATCACCTCTCTTTCTGTAGGGTTTTCCCCGCCAGTTTCATCCTCTCTATTCTGTTTTATCTTGAATCTGCAATGGTCAAGTCCCCACTCTGTCCCACTCCACCCACCCCCAGCTCCTAGACGTTCTAACTTTAGACCCAGCTGCTGCTAGCACAGTCACTTCATACTTTCCTCTTCATATTAGAAAGAGAAAGAACCCAGGGGCCCTGTTCATCTCTTTGTAACAATCAGCCCTCAGTCTCTCATTCCGGCCCAGGGCTAGTTCCTGGGTCAGGAGCAGGGGAGCAGATCAGGAAAGGAGAAAGTCACATGTTAGAAAACATAGCTGTGGCGACCTGCTTCTGTCAGCGGCTGGTGTGGAGGAGAGAGAACTTCAGAATCTTGACTTTGTGGCACACTGGCCTGGCCTGAAGGTTCAAGTCTTATTGTTTAAGCAATATAGTAATTACTGGAGATAAAAGACTTGTCTTATATAATTCTTTGCATTGCTTTACAGACAGATTAGCTATCAGACACCCAATAGACATTTTTGTTGTTGTTAATCCTCACCCTAGGATATTTTTTCCATTGATTTTTAGAGAGAGTGGAAGGGAAAAGGAGAGACACAGAGAGAGAAACACTGATGTGTGAGAGAGACACATCCTCTCTATTGGTTGCCTCCCGAGATTGAGCCTGCAACCAAGATAGGTGCCCTTGACTGGAATCGAACCCAAGACCCTTCAGTCTGAGGGCTGATGCACTAACCAGTGAGGAAAACCATTTAGGGTCACAGTAGACCGCTAATAAATGCGTAGTGACTTATTCTTAGAAGATGGGCTGGCATCTGGGATTTTAAGCTTAGTTCTGAGACTTCACGTAAGCTGATTCGCCTCTGGCCACCTTCTGCAGATACCTGATGCTTTTTTAAGCTAGA